TTCAAGTTAGTGTTTTTGTATTCTTTGGGTAGATACCCAGTAATGGAATTACTGAATCATACAGTAATTCTATTTTTAACTTTTTGAGGACCCTCCATACTGGTTTCCACAGCGGCTGTACCAGCTTGCATTCCTACCAACAGTGCATGAGGGTTCCTTCTTCTCCACATCCTCCCCAACACTTGTTTCTATTTTTTCATACTTTTTTTTCATATTTCTATTGGACAGACATTTCAGTTGAAGATGGATTATTCTCCACCAAATAGTATCTTTTTTAAAAAATAATGAATGTGCAAAAAAAAAAAAACAATAATGAATGAAATAATGCTTTATTTCTCTCCTAACTTTTAAAATGTGAACATTCTGTAATTTAGTCACAGCCTTTACTTCCAGGTGACTTCTTCATTTGGTCTCAATTCCCTTCTAAACAACAAACTCTTATTCCGGGAGGCAGTTAGCTTTTCATCATTCTTTCTGTCTAGGTAACATCCAAGGACAAACCCCATAGGCACAAGTATATGTACCCAGTGGTCATGAACCATCTGAATTACGTTCATCTTAAGTGCTGCAGCCTGGGTAGCTCCAATGACCACCAAATAGCATCTTAAATCACAATGCTTTAAGAACTTAAATGTTTTTCAAATTAAGCTCCTACAAGATCAAATTACATATTTTTCACCTTATCTGGTTTTAGCTGAAAACCATTTAATTTGTCTCTTCTTTAGAAAAAGAAACAGAACACATTTCATTTTTATATAGAATAAACTTTGTTTTTATTATAGACATAGATCAAAAATAAAAGTTTTTATGTACATATGACATGTAGTGCAAACGATAGGCTTTTAAATACCATGGATAGACATGTTGTTGGAAACAAAACGAGATGAATCATGGATGTTAGGATGGTCGTCCTGGAACTGCAGGAGGGGGTCGCCTAGTGAAAACAAAACAAAACAAAACAAAACAAAACAAAATAACAAAAAGAAAAACACAGATGCAGAGGAAGAAAACAATGTTTAAAGTAGAAAACAAATCCAAATAAAAGCATGCAAAATGAACCCACGAAAGTCAAATTCAAATCAGACAAAAAACATGCAGACATGCAGGAGAAATGAGAGAACCACATGGCAAAGTTAGCAGTTCCCAGGACTTTTCCTGGCTATCAGCAGTGTGCTAGGTGTGAGCCATTTGAGCCCACTCCAGAATCTTCTTTTGTACCCTGGGATGATAAATCCATGCAATCATATTCAGGAGACCTGGAAATAGTACTAGAGCCAAATGCCTTTATCACTTTGAGTATTTGCTTCTGAGCCCTGAGTTTGTGACATTGTTACCTCCAAAGGGAGAAGAAGTTGATATAGAAATTGACAGGTAAAATTTTTTTTTAAGGTGAGGTAAATTAGAAGGTGTTAAGAGATCAGATGAGCAATGTAATCATAATGCAGAAAATGTCAGGGGTTGATCTCGGGGCGGGGGGGGGGGGGGAGGATTTGTAAATGAGAATCTGCTCCGAGTGAATATCCTGATACAATAGCCTTTCCAAGCCCAGGGAAACCACAAAGCTAGTCCTGGTCCATGGGACCCTGGGCTTCTGTCTCAGAGTTGCGTACAATTAAAGCTCTGATTTATTCGGAACTGGGTGCAGGGTGAAGGAGACTGAGTTTGCCAGACTTTTTTCCATATCCCTAGCTTGGCTGGCATCTTGTCAGGCCTATCGTTGTGAAATAAGGGTCTAGAGTGAGCTGTGCTTCATTTGGACATCAGCCTCTCTGGATGATTCGCTGCTAGAGGAGTAAACTCTACACTGCAACAAACGGCTCTGTCTGTAAGTGGGAAAACAGCAGGCCAAGTGAAACTTTCCCATTGGTTTCCAGCAGAAATCTGTACTTTCATTTCCTCTCTCTAACCAAATTGGTAATGAATTCCACACTACAGCAGGCCACAGAACTGTGAGGTTAGCTCAGTACCCTGCTCCCCGCGGGACTTCTTTTTTGGCTATTCATCCAGGTGTCTGACAACATACTCACTGCCATCTTACTCTTGTAACACTTCAACTGAGTGGAGCAATGAAGTCTACAAAAAACAAAAACAGAAACAAACTTTTTCATCTTCTAGGAGATGTTTAATGGAGCCAAACTGCACTATTTCTGAGCAGTGGTGAAAAAATCTTACCTTCCCTGAAGTCCGAGACCAATTTTTCTTCGGTCCAATTTAAGCTGGCTATGCTAAGGAGGCCTCTCATCCATTTAAATGATGAAGAACTTGCTTTTGGTAACCTTTCAACTGCGGGGGGGTCTGCAAGCCTTTAGCTTTAGAGATCCAGGTAATGGGGATCCCTGGTGTTTTCATGAAGAAAGTGTAATTAAATTCCTGTCAGGCTCAATGAGATTTATCACCTGCCCAGCAAACAGAAACTATTTTTGAGTTCTGAAGGGGCTTTAGAACATTTTAATTACCTCAGCAGGGTGGGGAGGTGAGCCATTAAGTCCACACTGCTGAAGAGACATTCTGTTAGCATATGCCAAAGCACTTTCCTGTTTGAGCTCTTTGGTGTTCTAATCCAGAAACAGGATCAGAAACTCTATGTCTTGGAATATATTTCACCTGACAGCTAGAATGTTTGCTTCAAACATCAGAATGACATTTATTCCCTCAGGCGGCTCCTTTCTTTTCCTCTTCACTTTCCTGCACCAACTTTCCTCTCATTGCCAAAAAAGCATGTCGATGATGACACATGCAGTGGCTCAGAGTTAGTTCTATGATGGATCTTGGTGGTTTGAATTTTCACGATTTATCTTCCAGAACCTTCTATGTTACTTACACAATGCTGAAGTGCCCAAGGCAAATGCTGAAAATATTTGGGCTTTTTACATGAAGGCCTATAAACGTACATCATACTCTTGCTGAATTGGAACACTGAGTTGAAATTCTGAGTAGTTGACAAATTTTAAAGTTTGGCCTGCTACTCTTTACCATACAGGCAAATCTACCTAATCAAGGTTATAGTTTCATGTTACACCTTCTTGAGTATTCTGAAAAATAGCTTCAAAGAATTGTTTGGCTAGAACAGGAAGGTAAGGAGGCAGGAAAAACTGTGTATGGAACATGGGCATTATTCAAATATAAAAGACTCAATTATCAGTAAGAATGATGGATTATCCATATTCTCTTGGATCTACCTCAATGCTGCAATCTGTTCTAATGGTGAAATTCCCCTGGCAAGGTCCCTGGGGAGGTCTTATGACTTTTTTTCTTTTCTGTTACAACTTCACAAAACATTCTCTGCTTACTTTCTTTGCCCATCATTTAGATAACTTAGTATCTCAGATCAGTGGGTGAGCCTGAAGGCTTGGGTAAGTTTTCCTTTGATAATCTTTAAATTTTATTTTATTTTATTTTTTATTTTTTTAGATGGGATGTTCCCATTTTTATTATATTTTATTCTTTTTAAAGATTATTTATTCATGATAGAGACAGAGAGAGAGAGAGAGAGAGAGAGAGAGAGAGAGAGAGAGAGAGGCAGAGACACAGGAGGAGGGAGAAGCAGGCTCCATGCCGGGAGCCCGACACGGGACTCGATCCCAGGACTCCAGGATCGTGCCCTGGGCCAAAGGCAGGTGCTAAACCACTGAGCCACCCAGGGATCCCCAATCTTTAAATTTTAAATCAACCTGGATCCATTCATTTACAAGAATATAATGGGGGAATGTAATTCCTTTAAAGGAGCTATTTTTTTCAGGAGTGAGAGAAAAAGTAGTATGGAAAACTATCTGAGTCTTCCACAAGGCTTACTAAGAGTCATTGCATGTATGTCTGCTTTCATGCCTCTGTTCTTATGTGATCTTCCTCCTTGGGTCTGGTACATTGCTGTGACAAAGCATGGGGGTCAAGAAGATTGTCCTGGGAGCTTTAGTTGCTCTTATATTTGATTTTATCACCTGACTTTGTGATAGTGACAGTCTTGTAATGGACTAATCCTGCTCAATGCCTTTTCTCTCTTATCTAAAGCCACCAAAGCATTGTTTCCTCACAACACTAGACCTGCTTTATGTTTTATGAACAAAGCACTGATGGTCAAATAAGTCTGAGAAACATGTAGACACTGATCTTCTCTTAGAGATTCACAATGCAATCTGATATTAAAACTTCTGTTAAGTTTTCCAGTAAAGAAACATTTAATTTTTAATCATCATTTCCCAAGTATGCTTAATTAAGAAACCCTTGGTATATGTACATGCAAAACCTACTAAAATCTCATGGAATGAACTTTGGGAAACTCTAAGACTGCATCTCTATTTTAGCCAGCATCTCTTGCATGTATTCTAATTATTAGGCTGCCACAGTGTGAAAAAATATCAACAAATGGTCTTCAAAGTGGCAATGCCAGATGTGTGTTGAAGTACTAGGAAGTAGGGTATGAGATCTGTCTAACCAAACACCAGATAGATTTCTCAGTATGAAATTTAAAGATTCCAGCAGAAAAACAAGAATATTGACAACTGAAAAGATATTTACTTCCATGCCAAAACTATTTCAAAAATATGAATAGTAATTTGCCAAATAGTTAGCAAATAAGTAGTTTGCCAAATGAGGTCCTTTGGTTTTGGTAATTTCCATTAGAAACTACTGAATAAAGAATCACACAGTAAAACATACACATGTACACACTCACACACCCCACACAAGTGTACAGCATGATTCTCATCCTATCTTTTCTAGTAAGAAGCTTCCTTTGAAGGCATTAATGGCTCTACTCATGGAAGATGTACAGATATGAAAAAGAAATTATAACAGGAAAGCATGAATTAATACAGCAATCTTTGCAATTCATCTTTTCCCAATGAACATATCCTGAACACAGAGGGAAAGTAAACCAATATTCATCTTTTCTCTTCTTGTCTTCCTATTTTGGATGGGTGGTTCAACCTGGGACTATGTACATTGATAAGGAACCTATTATCAAAACTCTGTAATAAAGAGTCTTACTCTGTGTTCTGGAACCTGCGGACAAGGATGTGTGCAGCTACTGTTTAGCACTCTTCCATTTCCTTAATATTAGGGAAACTAAAAGGGTAGCTTCTCCCCTCGATGCCCAATGAATAAATAATGGAGGCCAACTATTGAGTCAAGAGCTCAATTACTTTCTGTAAGAAATGCCTTCTGTGGACCTAACATTTGGGCAGAGTGTTCTTCCTCTTTTTGCTTCCCAGGGTTTTTTCATGAACACTTCCTCTTTAATGGCAAAATAAGAATGGTGCCTCTTGTCAAGTGTCACATTGCACCCCTGCAACTGTCTAAGGCATGTGCCCCTTTTAACCTAGTTCAGCAATGAATTTGAATCAGAAATAAAATGTCTCCCACTCTCCTGCCTTTGATTTGTCTGATTTGCTCCCTTTAAAAAATATTGTCCTCCCCCCAATTAAATGACAGTAATGCCAAATGTTATTATTCCCCATTTCAGTAATTCTGGACCAATTTGATCAAAAGGGTTATAAGTATTCAGACATCTCAGGTCTTACCGATATGCATAGATATGAACCAAATGTATTATACAAGAACGAGGAAGGGGGAGTCCTTCAAGTGTTATCATTTATTTCAAGTTCAGAAATACAGCTTCACATTTTCACAATAGGTACGTGTAACCTTCAAGAATGATACAGGCTTGAGAAACTTGCTTCAAAAATTCCATTCACAGAGTCCATCCATATATCAGCAGTAAGAAATCTCGAAAGTGCCAAGAAGACAGTGGAAAGTATTCTGGCTCAAATTAATTAAAGAATCAACAGAGAAGGTAAGATTTTGCTTCTACACACTGCTGCTTCATAAAAAAGCAAAAGAGGAATTTGATTCAGAAAAGGGAGAAAAAAGAAACATAGATGGGCAAACAAAACAAAGGCTGTACATATGAAATTAATCATAAATCAAGTATTGGTGAAATTTCTGGTTGAGAGGAATCGTTTTTTATCAAACTGGCAACAGACAATGCAAGAGGTTGACAGAGTAATTTTTATAATACTTTAAAAAAATTACACAATGAGCAGAGTTTAAGGAATTGAAAGGGTAAAAATTAAGAAATGAATGCCTTGAGCTGAGCCATGTGTGAAACCCCAGACCAGAGTGGTGAGAAGTCTCACCAGTATATACCAGTATGAACAGGTCTTAAGACAAACAGGAGACTCCTCCTTGAGTTTTCTCTCTTGCTCCCACACATATACACATTCTTACACATATATACAAGTAGCAATGCATATACTACATATGCTTCAAAATATTCTTAAAGTTTCACAATACAGAGCACCACACAATTTAAAGCATACCAACTAGACAGGATGACTTAAGATTATCTAGAAGACACATGTGAACTTTTAAGAAAGGAGTGAGTGATCTAATGGACTAATATTGTTTCTCTACACTCATCTAGCTTTATTCACATTAAACTCTGAGCTCACAGCTCCTCTTGGTGAAATGGATATAAAACTCTCAGTTTGAGTCTCATATCTTATCTCCCTTGAGTGGGTTCCACAGTTCAGAGACCTACTATTTAGGCTTTATTCTCAAATACTTATCTTTCAAATACTTATCTGGTTTGCCAAATGAGAAATATTTACCTGAAAGAGGAGATGGATGACCTACCTCTGAGGTATTAACTTCTTCCCTACATTTTTTGATAAATTTACTCCAAAAAGTCTGCTCTTTTTATTATATTGCTTGATCTCTCCAATTTATTTTTTTGACATTTACTATGAAGAATAACTATGTAGACCAATTTAAGCTTTTCAAGATTCAGCTCAGCAATCCAAGAATAATTTATAATTCCAATCAGATATTTTAAAAGTATGTTTCCCGATCTTACACTATATTTGGCAAAGGTAATTTCTTCTTAGATAGCAGTGCTGTGGACTTAGGTACAAATGTCTGTGGATGTTACTCTACTGTGCTGTCATGGTAATTCTGAGCTTTGTGTCTGTCCTGGAAAAATTTTGTATGCCTCATGTATGTTATCATTGTCATATAAACCACTGTTATCATGTATTACAGCAGACCCTCCAAAGTGAGCTCTTGTATTAACAGTTTAAAAATATTTTCATACCCACACATACAGCACATGTATACATAAATATTTACACCCATACATAGCATATATACACAGTGCACATACATTCACACTCATGCTTGTGGCATTTTAACAAGTGCTTTTAAACCTACCTACCCAAAGGGGCACAAAACACAGTACTTACAGAAATGAATTCACCATGTATATACTGTATACATAGACACATGCATAGAAAATAAGTTTGTACACAGAAAACATCAACATTTATCACATACTGGTATTAGGTCCCATTTCATATTTGAGAATTATGGCTACAGTCTATACTAAAAAGTCATAAAATTAATCTATTATGACTATTTTTAAATTCTAAGTTTAGAAGGCTTACAGTTATATCACAGGAACTGGTTTCATTATGTTTTGGAACAGAATGAGTTTGAATCTGAACAAGTAGGCAATTTACTAATAAACCCTACTGCTCTTCTGTGCTATAAAAGACAGCTATAAGCAACATTCAGAAGAGTAATCTTGGTGGATGACTTCTGGAAATGCAATATATCTGTTCTAAATCAATACTATTTCAATAATCTGTTCACACTTGAGTAAACGGTTATTCCAATTAGTCAATAAGCATGCAATATTTAGCATGTGACAAGAAGTGATGTACCTATAAAACAAACATATACAGTTAATTCTTCCAAATCCTAAAAATATTGTATGTTTTATTTTATTTTGCTAGACATCTATTGTGTAGACCACATCAGAGCAATCAGGAGGAAGCCACACAAAAGATGAGAAGTGGTATGGGAAACTCTTAGAAAGCTCATTAAGCTACATTCCCACCTTAAGGCCTGGTATGGACAACGCACTTTAAACACATCTTAGAGCTTCCGACTTCATTCACCTTTACATTTCCTTTTTAGCAGGATGCAAACCCTTTGGGAAATGGCATTAATACTAATCATATGACATAGTACTGCAGCAAACAACGTATTCTCCAGCATGACTTCTGGAATTCCAGGGGAGGCTAGAAATAACTGAGAAGTGAGAGGACAAAAATGTGCCTACAAACAGAGACAATTGGGACAGTGAAACTGTAGGATTATAATCTGAGAGCAAAAGCCAAATATGACAAATGCCATTGTTTATGACTACATAAGATCAGTGGAAAGTTGGAAAAACATCTCCAATTTTCTTCGACATGGTTTGTGCTGATCTAAGAACACACCAGTGGTTATCCACAATATTTTCCTTTAACAGAAGGAAATTTTTGAAATACAGCAAAATGCAAAACCACATTTAGCACAAAGCCAAACCCCGAAGTATATAATGTTAGCTGCCTATTTTAGAGAATTCAAAGGAAGAAGCAAAGGGAATCCTAAAAGGAGGGAATTTTATGATAAGATCTCTGTAGATAATTTGTTTTACTATGGACATTTACGTAACACATTCCCACTTAGCTGCAGCACTATTTTAAACACACATTATGTCTCTTGCATATCTGTTCCATTCACAAAGAGTTAAGATTTTTTTCAAATGACGGAAAAAAAAGATATGAGAAGATTTAGGGTGCTGTTCTTTATACAATAACTTATAACTTAAAAGTTGAAATGTTCTTTTTATAAATCTTGTATTCTCTGATTTTTGCCTGTTATAAGTGGGCTAGCTGTAACCCTTTAAAATAACTTCAAGACAATGTCATTCAAGTTGGCAAGTTCTCTTTTTAATAATGGTTGAAAGTTTTTACTTCATACTTTATGGGTGTCTGCTTTGGGTATAAAGTACACAGGAAATTAAAGTGAAGTTAACATACAAATCATGTTTGCTGCTTTCAAAGGGAGACATTTCAGTTGGTGAAACCTGATTTACTTCTGTAGAATATGAAATAGTGTCATGGGACGCCACTATTCAGTGAGGACTTGCTCTGCTGTCTGGGAACAGTTAGCAGACGGAATTCCAGTTGGCTTCTGGCTGTTTCCTACATGCTAATCATTTGGTCCTAGGTAGTCTAAAACTCAGCCTTAAGACTGAACTATTAACCCCCAGGCTAAAAGGATTTAGTAAATTTTTGAAATGCTAGCATTTGCCAAGTTGCTTTAGATCTCGATGTCTTAATACCATTATTTGGAATGACCTGTATAGAGACTCTGAAATCCTACAACTGTAAAAGTGTGAGCTCTGCTCTTAAACCATGGCATCTCTTACTAAACGACTTCTATTTTCATTCTGGGGCTCCTTTTGAAAACAGTTATTCCAGAGTAAGGCTCAAGATATATTAAGAAAGCCTAGAATGGATGGAAAGTTACGTTAACCTAGTCTTAAAGGCAGATAAATTCTTACATGAGGGAATTACAAATTAGCATGGAAAGAGAAAACGTTTTGCTCCAACCAAATAAATAAATAAACTGGAGTTTGTGTCAATGTGTAGTTAGCTATGCCTAAAATTAGCTCAGTTTGAAAAATTAAATATCTTCCATGTCAGTCACTGTAACCCATAAGGAGATGAATATATATGTGAATAAAGAAATTATATGTTTCCAGACACTTCTAGAGATGTGATATTTTGCTTCTTCCTTGAACTCTGAAACTAACTAGCCAAATCTACTGATAGGCTACTGAAAATTAAGCTTTGATTTGCTGTTGAATATGCTTCTAGCATGAAGCAAAACACATTGGTATGAAGAGAAGCTCTCTAGAGCAAGCAATGCGTTAACTTTTCCTTTGCAAGCTATCTTGTGCTTCTGGAAAAGTTGTATTCTTAAGGAATCCTAATTTTTTTTTTTAAAATCACTTCCTAGCAGTCCTATGAAATAAAGAGGAAGGAAAGAAGATCTAAATAGGTAAGTATAGAGTAGAAGGAGATATTAATAATGGACAACATAACTTCTGTAAGCCAAAACAGAATGTGGGAAAATAAATATATGTATGGCTTAGGTCTAAGCCCACCATCTCATAGCTCTTAAGAATTATACTTAATGGGCTACCTGGTGGTTAACCTGGGTAGGCAAATGGTCTCCAAAATATAGGGCTGCTATACAAACCTACCCTTGGTCAGTACAACATAGAAAGCCTTGAAGGGTCAGCAGTTTTCAAGAGTCAAACTCCAAAGGTTTGATACACCATGAGCAACGAAGATGAGTAATGAATGCATTAGTAAAACTGGTTACTTGCCTACTGATGTCCACACATGCGACTACTCATGATTTACTGATCAAATATGTTGCTTTCGCATAATTCATTAGTAATTAATTGCCATGCCAGACACTTCGTTTAGTCTAACAGGGAGGATTCTAGTGGACGGATTATAGTGGGACGAGTTGGTGATGGGGGTGGTCTCCGGCTAGAAAGAGAGAAAGAGAAAGGTAAAGAAACAAGTAGAATATCTAAGCAGAAGGTTGTCCCAAAGACACTGAGAAAGAGCCATCATACACATGCCCATGCAGACAGGCCAGCAGGGGTGGTTGCCATCTGTAATGATTTGAACACTGTCACATTTCATTCATCTAGAATTTTGAAACCAAAAATTTCATACGCAAATCTTTCTCAAAACAGAAGCGGTTCCTCCCAAAACAAAACAAAACAAAAAAACCCAAACACCAAATCATTTAAAAACCATCTGAAATGTCCTGTGCATTTCTCAGCTGACAGACAATGACTGCATAGAGTGAACTGTGTTACATTATGCCTACTCCAGGAACTTTTAAGGTATATCAGGTCTCAGAGGATGATGATTTTTGAATTTTTATTTCCCTTTATGTAATATTCTCTTTTTACTGTCAGAATGCTAGTTATCACTTTTCATTGCCTTTAGCAGTAGCCTCCTCCAATTTGTTCTATATTTTATTTCTAATTTGAAGGGCACCAGAAAACCAGAGAATCGGGTTTTTGCATTCTCTACAGTAAGTGTAAATAGGCCCAGGAGGAGTATTGCTCACTTTCTGGTTGGTTATGATGTTTCTGAGAGCTGAGGTTGCCCAATACACAAACTCCAGATAATGAAATATTACTGTATGTGAGAATCTCAACATTACCTAGTAATGCTCTTTAGTTCCTGAACACATCCATTTATTTCCTAAATGTATTAGGATCTCTGTGTGTGTGTACTTGCTTTCATATGTAGTGTTTTGGGGAGTAATTTTTATAATCAACAAAATTCAACAAATTCTGCAAACTGAAACCTTTCTTCTTGATAAAACTGTCCCACTGGTTGTTTCAGAAAGATCCTTTTTGGAAGTATAGTCATGCCACAGAATTTTTCCTGTGTTAGAAACACTAATATGATTAAATCAAATGTCCCTTCTCAGGTATGAAGAAGTGAAGATAGAAAACTTAAAGGAAACAATTATGAAATGTGGAAAAAAAATCACAAAGGTATAAAACCTAGATAGTCAAGGAAAAAACGCAAAAGAGATATTGTTCATTAATGGTACAAATACTGGCCCCTTAGGCACAAACTCCTAGATATTAACAGAGTTCCTTTCTGCTCCTGCACCAGAAAAATGTCCAAGAGGCTTTAGAGGAAAGGTTTCCTTGGGAAGGTGCATTTCAATTTAACTCCTTATGCTAGTCTCCTTATTAGGTGGGCACTCGATTTCTTAAAGTCTGACTAGACATACCTGATAGGCACAGTAACCAAACTAAACCATCAATACTAGTTGTTGATTTGAGTAAAAAAACAAAAAACAAAAAACAAACAAAACAAACAAAAAAAAAACACCTTTTTTTTGCAGAAAGGGTACTGGCTACTCTGACCACCTGACATGTTTTGGCTATTCCCTGCTGGGAAAAATCTTCCCCTGATTTCCTTTTTACTTGTGTCCATGCAAAAGCACTGCCCATCCACTAGCATACTGCTCATGTTCATTTAAAATGGCCATATTTATTTGACTTCTGTCCTGAATCTTGAACCTTGAGTCACTTTCTCCTTTGTTGTGAAGTTTCTAGTGGCCAGAGGTCACACTCCTACTTCACTTGTCTCATACAACTTCTAGTGTGATGTTCTGTGCAATTATGTTCTCAGCGCTGTTTTTTTCTTCTGCTAGAAGTGCTATCCATCCTTCGAGGCTCACCTCCCCAACGTCTTCTCTAACCTACCTCTCCCTATCTTAATAAAGCTGCTTCGAAAGCATCTCAACATATGTCTGTTACAACCATCACAATCAATCCTAATTAGGTTTTTATGTTTTATCTCCACTGATGAGAAATGGGCTGTGTCTCACTCATCTTCCTGTTCTTGTGGTGTGTGCTTATCATTCAGCCACTGTACAACTGGACACTGACAACTAAATACAGTTATCCATAGAAGTAAGAAGCAATTTATGAATGCTTGTGATACTCACTGATCTTCACATTACATACAGGTATATGTTGGGAAGTCATTGCTGTTGCAGAAAAAAGAAAAAAAAGCTACAGCAACATGTAGGATTTTGACCCTTGGAAATGTTACCTGTAATGTATTTGCTCAATTCTTTAATAAATGTTTGGAATAAACGTTAAATAATAAGCCCCCTGTCCTCAGCGAGTTTGATAAATAGTCACATAACCCATAGAAATGTATTCTTAGAATTAAGCAGTTATGGCGGGGTGGAGGGAGAGGAGGAGTTGGCCAGAGTTTGGAATTTGAAGGAAGGAAACTCTACGAGAAGATTCAATATTAGGTTGGATTTTTTTTTTAAGTAGATCTTAAAACAAATTCATTGAGGGGCAGGGTACAATGTGGCATGGTGGGTTGGAAACTGTTTCATGCATACATGATAGCTTGGACCAAGGACTGTAGCCAAGAGAGAAAGGAATACAAACCGGGTTCTCTTCTGATCCTTTGGTTCTTGGCTTAAATGTCATTCCTTAGCCCTTCCTGACCATCCTAGAGTTTCCAACCACCCCATCCCCAATCACTTCATGATATTTGTGTATTTCATAGCACTTGACCCTGTTTGTGATTATGTATTTACTATATTATTGCCTATGTCCCGCAGTAGATTCCTTAAGAGCAAAGACCATATACTCTGTATTTATTATGTGTATTCAGCATTTAGTATAATGTAATCACATTATTAGATTAGAAGGCAGTGAATAAATATTTATTAATAATGGACAAATGAATGGCTGAAAAGTGCCTAAACAGAGATGCTTGGCCAGGTTAGAGCATAGGCCAGATCAAAGGGAGTAGATCCATTGGGGCCAGGAATATTTTTGAGGTGTTTCTGAGATGCTATTATTGAGTTTACACAGAAAGAGTTCTAGATCAGAAGTAAAAAGATGTGGATGCCTCCAACTGCCAATTTGTATAGTCACTAACCAACTGAGGTTCTCCAAGACTCAGTTTCCCCCTTACAGGCACCGGAGACTCAGACTAGATGATCTATAACACACCTTCTAGTTTTTATGTGGCATACATAATTTATTGAGCATCTACTATGTGAACTGCATTATGCTGCAATCATTTTTAAAAGCTCAGAATCTATTTAGAATGGAAGATGAGTGGGATAGACAAGTATACAAGTGGTTTTTACTATTGTACCCCATTTTAAGTGGAAAAAATGGCAAAATTTTGTACTTCAGACTCTAAGAATTTAGTTTGGAAGCTTGAAAATACAATGTGGTCAAAGCAGGGGCAAATGTGATTTTAACTGCAACATATAAAACTTGGAAGATGTAAGACAATAGTTACAATGAATTTATAAGAAACTAGAAACTATGTGCTGAAGATGGAAGGGCAGAGCTCAATGGTGGGGACAGAGAAGAGAGAGATTTAAATGCTATGATGGCACAGTTGCTCCTCATTAACCTCCTCCCCAGTTTTGGACTATGCTGATGGAACTAGAAAAGGACGATGGTAATGGGCAAGTCCAGAAAGAAAGCAAGGCAGGAGACTAGGGATTGCAACTTTCTGCTCTGTGCCAGGACTTTCGTTTGTCTTATTCACCACTATATCCCCAAACTAGCATAATCTTGGGCTCATGACATGCTTTCTCTCTCTTAATCTCTCTCTCTCTCTCTTTTTTTTTTTGAGAGAGAGGGAGAGAGAGAAATTGGGAGTATGCCAGTGGGAGAAGGGGTATAGGAAGAGAGAGATTCTTAAGTAGACTCCTGGCTAAGCAGGGAGCCCAATGATGTGAGTCTGGACCAACTGAGCCACCAGGTGCTCCTCATGGCATCCTTTTTTAATAAAGAAATTAGGAGAAAGGTCCCTGGGGTCCGTGGGTGGTTAAACCTCCAACTCTTGATTTCTCTTCAGGTCATGATCTCAGATCAAGCCCTGCAACAAGCTCCCCACTTAGTGGGGAGCCACTTCTCTCCCTCTGCCTCTCCCTCTGCTCCATGTGAGGTATTCTCTCTCTATCCAATAAATAAATATTTAAAAAAATAAAATTGGGAGAATCTATCCATTATGAGCTTCTTAAAAGTGTCCCTTAGTGGGGGTGTCTGGGTGGCTCAGTTGATTAAGCAACCAACTCTTAATTTCGGTCCAGGTCATGATCTCCCGGTCATGATCTCAGAGTGGCGAGATCAAGCCCCATGTTGGCTCCACTCTGGGCATGGAGTCTGCTTAGTATTTTCTCCCTCTCCCTCTGCCCCCCTCACTCTTATGCACTCTCCCTCTCTCTAAAATAAAATAAATAGGCACCCACACCTGTGTGGTGAATGAATGAGAAAATGAAAGACAAAATTTCTATCATGTTCACTCAAAAATAATTATGACATCTACAAAATATGCTCAGTTTCAGGTCAAAGTAACTCATATACGTACTTGGTAATTAAAAATCCTGAAAGATCCCCCTCCCTACCCTTCTGGAAAAAAATGAGCATCATTTCATTTCTAAAATAATAAAACTCTACTAGAAAGCAATTCAGGAGGAGCATTAAGTTGTTCTGTGTGATTTTCTTAATAAGCAATGGTATTTGCCAACTTCAACACCAGAAATACATTTAAGGTTTACTGTTAAAGTTCATTTCATTGGTCTAGTTCCTAACCATTCAAAGAGTTTCCAAAGACATTCACCTCATAAGACAGTTTGTTTTGGGCAAAGTTATTTGTTTTGTACCAAATTTTCCTCAGTTGCTTTGTTTAGTGATGGGCTTCATTAAGTAACCCATTACATTGAAATGGAGCATCTTGCATCACTTAGTGTTTATTGAAACACTGTGTTGTGTGTGGGCGGTTTATGGTTAGGACAGAAGAGCCATGTTTCTGCTTCCAAATCAAAGGGAGAGATGTAATACTTGTAGTTGCATTCGTAGCTGCAGGGATGAACTTTTTACAGTCTTTTGGACAATGACAATTTTTGTAAGGAAATCCAATGCTCACACAAGGTGGGTGGCATTGAAAGGGAGAACCTG